CCCTCTTGTACTCGAAGTAACTTTTGTTTCCCTTTAGATCATTTCTATATATTTTTTGCCTCAATTAATAACTCGACCATTCTGTAATCCGAAATCGCCTGACAAGTTTGAAAAAAAAAAAAAAAACAGTGTAACGGAGTCCAAAAAATTGAATTGATTTCAAAACAACCATTTCAATTCGATTCTTTGTCTTTACCAGGAGCCCATCACCCATGATAGCCGAGTTGTATTCCCTCCCCACCCATTTGCTTATTTCTTTAATTATTTGCGGTTCTTTGCTTTGGGTTTCCGATAACTCGAACTCCCCATGCATGACTCGAACTTTTTTCATTTTCCCTAGACTGCAAAACAGTCCGTATTTTTGCGTAAATTAAAGTACACGCGAGCAGTCAAACAAAAGGTCTGGAACGAGGCTGAAAACGGAGAGCGAGACTCTCGCTTCACACTCTCGCGCTTCGCGCGCGTAAGACTCTTACGCCACGCTTTACCGATTTATTTACTGATTTTGAGAAAAAAAACCGACTGTTTTGCAGTTTACGTTTTCCCTAAAAGGTTTGACACGGGAGGCGACTGTATTTTGAAGGTTACGCAACAATGCCGGTGGTTATATTTCGAGTTTAGGCCGCTTGTGGCTCAGCGTGCTCAAACGCTTCCGGCATCGATATCTTCGACATCTTCATACATGGTCTGATCAGCTCCATAAATTTGGATAAATTCTTTCTCTGGCATGAGTATCTCGCATATGAATATCGCACGGACCTGTCTCTTGACTTGGTTATTTGTATATTATTCATCTTATTTCATTTCCCAGATTCTAAACATCATCTATTGACAGCCACTGTGAAAGAGCAATAATCTGTATAGTATTTCACGGTTCTGTATACGGCTAACTTAATTCTTGTCGGCCTGTTAAGCGGCTACTGGCCCAATTTTCTGTGCATTCAAGCAGTGTAGCAGGGACAATCTTTCTTTGTTAGTCTTACCTGTATTGAGCCTCCATCCTTGAACGTAAAAACTATAGAATGACGGGATGTGATTTCGTTTTCCACACTTGGCAAGAGGACAATTGATAGTACCCGGTTTACATAACAGTAGATTCACTGAATCATGTGATGCCGCCTGTGCGGAGCGAATACCGGGGGAGGGAGGGGTAATGCCTATGTTGTCGTTTAATTTTATCCTTGGTTGAAATTTTCTTTTCTTTTGTTTCAAAATCATTATCATACATTACCATACCCAAAAAAGAAAGGTAATAAAATTTCAACCAAGGATAAAATTAAACCACAACACCTATATTTATTAAATTCAGCCGGACAGGAGCCCATCACCTTCCATCACCTTCCATCACTATTTTTTTATTGCTTTTAGCTTAGACACTATCAAAAATTCCAGCAGGCAAATGCGACAGCTATACGCGTATGTTGCAAATGAATCCACCCTGTTACAAACAAATTGAAGCATGCATAGGAAGCTTTATGTTTAGAACGTACATTTATAGTTCTCTGAGTTACTTTGTTAGACAGGAATGTCCACCGCGCGCGCTATTGTACAATTAACTCGAAGCTTTTAGATGCGAATCACATTTAATTAAATCACTTAACATTTAATTATGGAGTTATGAACAGTTTAAATTAAAATGCTATGATAATTACTGTTTTGCTTTGTGGAGAGTAATGCAAGTGCTTTACCGGAAAATAAAACATGTTTTGGCTGTAGAATGAAGAAGACGTTCGACCCGTAGCCAATAAGATTTTTAAGTTACTTTCTACACGACTAGAAAGGGCGGTTCTCTGCTGCGAAAACTCAAAGAAGAAGAAACGAACTTTAAATATTCAGACTGCATGAATACTCTGCATCACAAAAGCGACGCATTCTATAAGAACAACAAAGGCAGCAGCGCGCAACAAAAAATTCAAAACCTATTTTATGTCCAAATTGTGGATAAAATGAATCAGCACTTTACTGAAGTCGATTCTATGGACAAACAAACTAGCATCAAACGCGCTTCGTGCGATGGTGTCATTTAGACATGCAGTACCTCTGATTAAAAATTGCAAAGAAAAGTTGTGATTTCGCTAACGAACAGGATTGTAGGCACAGTGAGCTTAGTTCAGTGCACACCTCAAATAATGTTCAAAGCAAGTCATTACTGAAAATCACATTTAGAATATATTGTGCGTGTATAATTAGTCGTATGAGATTGAAAGGAGACTAAAGACCTTGGACATTATTCGTAACTTCATGATTTTTTTGTCTCAGTTAGGTGATAAACGCCTTTTGGGCGAAAATGGCTACCTTAACAGTTACTCGTTATGTTTTCGTTATGTGTCAGTCGGGGGTCTCCTTAACCAATATCTTCAAATCGCCTTCTGTGTCACGTCGGAGGTATCGGCAAGATCCGAGAGTTTTAAATTGATCTTCCAAAGTTGGGCTTTGGGGTTTATCGCCCTCATTAGGAAATAATTTGAGAAGACTATCACGCCGAGCTTGTTCCCTTAGTTTAAGGTTCCTTGGCATTAGTGGTGACACTTTTGACGGGTTTCCATGTTCCGAACTCGGCGAAACCTGGGCGGGTGTTAAGAATTGGGGACAAAGTTCCCCTCGGGAAGAAAACGACCTACTTGTTTTGCGCCTTGGAATCGGGGAGCTTCTTTGCGATTCAAATGCAATGTCATTGAAAGAACCTCTTCGAAGTACGTCTTTACCAGTAGGCGAGACATTCAAGTTGTCCCAAGAAAAAGTAGATCTTCTTCTGTCCTGGCTCGGAGAACATGGCGCAGATTTGACCTCGTTTCTGATTACTGGTAACTTCAACTTATCTTCCGAAGTTTCTTCTTCTTTCGTGGGTGATCTCACATTGTTCGTTGAATTTGTCTTTGTCCTACAGGGAATTAGAACAGTCAACTTTTGCCGCAGTTTTTTAGCTTCGAACTCCATGCTCTTTGCAAACAGGTTGTGTTCATTTTGTATAGAAGCACTTATCCTCTGATTTGTTTGTCTCAGAAGCGAGTTTCTTTGAGCGCAATTTCTCTGTTTTACCGTGAGGGAGGAGTTTGACTTTTCGTTAGCCTCCATTTTTTGCCTCCCTGTTTAGGTGCGCAGAGTTAGATAAAGCAAACTTGCCGACACAACGCCGTTAACACTCAAATTTACCTTATTATGATCTGCCGGTGCCGTAAATGTATTAAGTTCTTAACGGCTCGTAATTGGAAATTAATCATTGAGCCATTATTTAGCCTGCTTTATATTTCAGAGCTCTCTTTTGTTCCCTTGAGCTAAGAGCGCTTGTTATTGCAAAAAATATATAAAGAAAGCCGTTCTGTTTACAACATTTTTCTCCGACTTTGTCCTATCTTTTGTGTTCGCCAACATGGAAAATTACAGTATCAACACTTTTGAAAGCAAATCTATAACATAGAGGCGCAGTTCATGCTTCAAAAAGGAATTAAAAGCCATTTATTGTCGGTGCTAATTCATTTGATTCATGAAGTTCGACGAAGTAATAAGGTGGCTTCCAAATTTTAAGTTATTAATAGCAACAAACAAAGTAAACCGGAATAAGATGAAATTAAGTTCAGTCCTTACTAATGTTTTGCGAAAACAAAGATTTTTAGTGTATTAACATGGCAGTCATACTCAAAATTAGGGAGGACTGCCATTTAGTTCGGTTACGGTTCGTGTCATTTTATAACAAGACTAGATCAATACTAGCAGTGATATGTTCATGGTTCGGTCAAGGTTACAGTGATATATTTACATATAAAAAAGCTCTCGTGATAAACCAATTCAATGAAGAATCATATATAAATAGTGGGGTTCTTCTAGGTAAACGTCATAATCAGGGACCGCGGAGGGGGAGGGGCTGGTAGGGCCGCGGCCCCACCACTTTTTGGCGCCCCCGCCCCCACTTTTTGCGCTAAAAAGCAAACTAATTAAAATAAAAAAGAGACTTGAAACAAGTTTTTTTCCGTCTATATTCCGCTATATTCTCTGTATTTTCTTTAATTTCAAACGCCAGGCATTTTGTGGGGCTCCTGTGCTTTTCGCGGTAATTGTTTCCGTGGGGCCGACTTTCCCCTTGATCAAACGCCATGCCTTGGCCACCCCTTCGCTTCGTTCGGCAGCGTGTTTTGTACTTCCATTTCGGGCAGAGTTTTTTTTATCAGTTTTATCAGACGAAATGAAGAAAACTACTAGCTTTTTCAAGCCAAACGAANACAAACAAAGTAAACCGGAATAAGATGAAATTAAGTTCAGTCCTTACTAATGTTTTGCGAAAACAAAGATTTTTAGTGTATTAACATGGCAGTCATACTCAAAATTAGGGAGGACTGCCATTTAGTTCCGTTACGGTTCGTGTCATTTTATAACAAGACTAGATCAATACTAGCAGTGATATGTTCATGGTTCGGTCAAGGTTACAGTGATATATTTACATATAAAAAAGCTCTCGTGATAAACCAATTCAATGAAGCATCATATATGAATAGTGGGGTTCTTCTAGGTAAACGTCATAATTCTTTGCAAGTACCGCAAACGTATTTCCTACAGTAATCATTGCTAAGTGATCAGTATAAACGTCCAAAAAGCTATTTTTAACACTAAGCCATGAATCCCAAGGCCGAAGGACCTCCCGGGAGATTCGGAGGAAACAATTTTTTATTTTGTTTTTGTTTCTAGAGGTTTCTTTCTTTCTTATTTGTAGAAGGTCACAAAGACCGGGAAAAAATCCCCTACATAAAAGAGAATCCTTTGCAGATTAATCTTTATCTGAGCTACTTCGACACGGCTGCTAAGAACGGCAAGCAGGCGGGGGTACGCGCGTAGTCGAACCAAACGTTTTCGAGTCTGCCAGAACACTGGTTTAAAGGCAATGTTTGATCAACCTCAAACAAGAAAATGTGTTTGAAAAATAATTACAAGTTTGTGAAGAAGCAAAAGCAAAAAAGGTAGGAAACCGCGGACGAAAAGAACAGACGAGAATTAAGTAGCACCCGAGGGGACGATGATGTTGTGTACATGTTTTCTAGAGACATTCGCTTCCCCTCTAGCTTTACCCATATATCTCCACCGTTTCAGAAAAATCCTATGGGGACATCCACAAGATGTCTCTCATGCATTTAGGCTAACCCTGGTGCAAAATGAGAGTCCAATAGACCGTTCAAAAACATCCAGAGGTCGGCGGGAATAGGGACTCTGAAGGCGCGGATGCCGGCACAAGACATAAAA